AACTTGTTGACACCAACTGGGTGAGCTCAGTGGGTACACCCATGAACTGTTGAAATACAGACCTGAGCTCGAATCCAGATCATGATGGAACTAGATGAACAAAATAAAATGATAATTCTGAATTATCTGGGGTGGGCAAGTTCGATGACGAGATAACTTGTTGACACCAACTGGGTGAGCTCAGTGGGTACGCCCATGAACTGCTGAAATACAGACCTGAGCGCGAATCCAGATGATGATGGAACTAGATGAGCAAAATAAAATGATAATTTGTATTAATTTCATAATTCTGAATTACCTGGGGCTGGCGAGTTCGATGTCGCCCTTTTCTTTCTGGTAATTGTGAAAGCAAAAGTTTGTGGTCTGTGTTTGATCCTTATGGCAATTATCTTGCTGTGGCAGGAGGTTTGTCGATTGTGCTTGCTCTGCTGTTAATCAAGGGCCGGAAGGACAACAATCCCGCAGTTTCTCTGCCCAGTCACCTCCCTGTCCCTTCATTGGGAAGTCCACTGCGGCATTTTGCTTTGCATCAGTTGTAAATTCCTGTCTTCTCTCTCCCCATTCAGGATCGCCTGATAGAGTTCAGGGAATTGACGAATGAACGTTGTGTTCACCGTCCATTCGTCGTTTGGAGCTGCGAGGTGGGAGCATCATCTCCTCCTTTTCTATCTTTATTAGCACGATGGATTCGCCTCCGTTTGAACGGCTGCCTGACGGGTTGGTGTTGAAGATCCTAAGCGAGGTTGGAGGGCACGATGCCCTGGAATTGCTGAGAATGAGTCTGCTTTCGAAAAGATTTGTGTCACTCGTCCTCAATGTGTCGGCGTTGGAGTTTCCCAACACAGTTCACTGAAGGAGTGCAGCATGTTATTATCTCTACCCATCGCTTCTGTTTCTCTAAGACGGCTTTCCTTGTCAGGCTTCAAGATGTACCTATGTGATCATGCAGAAAGATACCTCGAAATGTGCAGTCGCCTCCCCTCCCTTACTCACCTTTCTCTCACATGTGTGGAAGGTCATTGCCCCGACTGCAGGATGACCACAAGCCGCACCACCGTATGCTGCTTCTTGCTTTCTTTCAGAACTCTGCACAGTCTGCGCTTCGACACCAGCGATGGATTCGCCGTCTCTCCACCTGGATGGGAGGTTGAGCAGCGGCACCCATGGTGGTCGCCGGTAGTTGAGAATGATCCTCAAGGAAGACAAAAGGGCCAAAGCGAGGACGTTGTGGGAGGAAGTGAGAAAGGGGGAAGCTCCCGGACACGCCAAGGAACTCCGTTGTCACTGGAAACACTTATTTTGGACCGTACGTTCCCTCTTCGGGCCGAGGGCATGCAGATGGCAGCCTTTTCGGACTTGTTCCTGAATCTGACAACACTTTCTGCTTGCCTTCCAATACCTGCATCTTTCCAAATTCTTGCCAAAGTACTTCACCGGCTCCTCCATGCATGTCCTCGATTGGTGACTCTAAGTCTCCAGGCGTGCAGACCATCTGAGACACCGAAGTCTTTCGTTGATTGGGTTGGTGTGAGAAGGTTTCTGGGAGTGGGAAGTGGTGCTGCCAAGAAGGGTGAGGAGGAGGAGGACCAGGTGGCAAAGGAGGAGTTGATGGAGGAATTGGGGGAGGACGAGAAGGAACAGGAGGAGATGAGAAAGAAGGGAAGATCAGGAGAAGAAGCAAAAAGAGAGGAAGTACAAGGAGAGATGAAGGGGAAGGAAGTGCTGGAGGCAATGTCATTGGACAAGCGTGATCGAGGAAGAATTCGATCATTGCCAATTGGGAAAGAATCACAGCCTCTGCATTGTCTAATGATCGACTTACATGATGAGGACATTGAATTTGAGCAAGCAGAGCTAGATGCCCTTATCGAAGTTGTTCCTTCCCTGCACACTCTGAAAATCAACGGCGGGAAGAGGCATTTCACATCTATTCGCTACCCCTCACTGCAGTGTCTTGAGGTTATTGAGCGGCAAGAAGATTTTATTTTGCCTCTGACGATCATTTGTGCCAATTTGACTAACCTTGTGCTAGACACGTCTGCGCAGGGTGCATCAATGATTCCACTCTTGCAGGTCCTCTGCCCAAAGTTGAAGGTACTTCTCCTCTGGCCTGGTCCATGTGCGCCGTCTGGAACAGTTTCTCTGTGTCATTACCATGCGAGGTGCTTGTGGACATACCATAATTTGTTCGCTTCAGTACCATTGGACAATCTTGTGTCTCTTCGCCTAGAGGATCGTATAGTCTTTGAGGGTGCCCTCTGCCAAATTCTGGCACACCACTTGCACAGTCTTGAAGAGTTAGATTTGGATATCAGTGAGATCTATCCTACCGACTCACCGCTCTCTATGGAAGAGGTACATCTTATCCGAGAAGGAAAGGAATGCTGCGGTCAAGATGGACCCTCAACCAGCAGGTACAAAATCAAGGATTGTGCTGCTGACTATTGTTTCTACAACACCGATCGAATTGCAACCGAGCACAAGCCTCTTGCTTCTTCTCCTCCTCCTCTCTCCTCGACTGTGTCATCTTTCTCGCCCATCTCCCTCCGCTCAGAGTCTGAGGCCGCCATCACTGATCCCTCTTCGAGTAGGAGTATGAAAGCTCCTCATGCCGCTTCTTCAGCTCCCGCCACCATCACTAGATTCCCAGAAGATGGGTCTCCACGTTTTCCAAAGCCTTTGGGGCTTCGAAAACTGAAGTCGCTCAGGCTAGGCTTAGGGTTCGTGCGTTTGTTTGCAAAACATACAGAGCGAGGCGTGCGCACATCTACCTTGTATCCCTCCAAGATGGAAGAAGCTCACATTGAGGGCGCATCGAATGATGTATGGACGAACATCTTTTACGATTGTCCTAATTTGGACAGGATCGATTTCACACTGTGTGGACACGATGATTCGAACTGTAAAGGATGTGAGACTGGGAACTGCAGTGAGGAGAAGCTGAGAAAGGAGGAAGATGAGTGGGCTAGGGAATTAGTTGGAGTCGTCAGTGCCTTTTTGAAACCCAGCACCAATTTGACGAGAGTTGGGCTGGATATTGTTGAGAGTGGTGGCACTGTAGATTACCATCGTATGTTCAACATGCTTAAGGTCATTTTCCCTTCTGTCGTTATCCATGTATCAGTCCGCATGAGGATATCCTATGGCGGCATTTACACACCCGAATCGAGTGGAAGCGAGGAATAAGAAGAAGCAATATAGGAGGAGGGTAGCAGGTTCATGAACTTCCTTTCTCACCATAATTCCACATTCTCCTTTAGAACTAGCCTTTAAACTTTCAGAGATTGGCTTGCGATCCACTCAGGGGTGGAGGGAAATTCGCGATGGGTGTGTCGTGGGGACTGGGTTGGTCATCACAGGCTGTATTTAGTCCATTAGCACTTACATTCTCGCTCTTGCCAACTCTGCTTTTCATCAACAGGATGAGTGGGTCTATGTGACACGTGTATGAATGGATTGATAGGTGGATGGATTGTGCTCATGGTGCATTAACTGTTTTTTTAGCTGCCCACGCACCCACCCACCCCGACCACCCACCCACCCACCCACCCCGAGCACCCACCCCACCGACCCACCCCGAGCAACGACCCACCCAGAGCATCGACCCACCAAGCCACCGACCAACCCCGAGCACCACCCACCGACCCGCAAACCGACCCTGAGCACTGACCCACCGACCCACGCCGAGCACCGGCCCACCGACACACCGACCCACCCCGAGCACCGACCCACCGACCCACCAACCCACCCCGAGCACCGACCCACCAACCCACC